TCTTAAATAAATCAAGCCATTATATATTAAATCTAAGAAAAGAATTAAAAAATTATCTTATTCTTTTTAAAAAAATACTTTAGATAGAAATTATATCCGTTATATATATATAATTAAATCCTTGTATATATATACTTGTTTAATTTTAAATAATCAAAATTGTATATGCAATGCGATTTAGAAAACCACTAATATAGTCTATAAAGACCAAATATTTTAGACACATGATACCTAGTTTATACACCTCAGCTTCAACACATAAATCAAGAATATTTGAGAGTGTGATAATGATTATTTTTCACAGTATTTTTCACTGAAAAATACATCAAAATAATATTTTTATTATTTTTTAAAAATTATTTTTGATATCAATATATCAAAATGATTCAAAAACATTAAAAAATATAAATTTAAAAAATAATAAAAATTTTAATTTTTTTAAAAATATTTTTAAATACAAAAACAAAGTAGGTGTTATTTAATGGGCCGGCGTATCAACACCCACCCATTAATATAGTAATGTTAGATAAACAAACAAATCTTTTGCTCACGTGTGAGGTCAACCATCCAATAGTTAGCTGACATGTCAATTACATCCATTCTTAGTTCTTCGAGACTAGATTAGATACGCTTGGATAAGCCATATTATTATTGCCTCCGTCCCCGTGACCCTCCTAAACACCTCTTCCATGATTGTCAGGACCATCAAAGATTTTGGATACAAATCAAAGCCAACCATTTCATGGACTCTGCTCACAATTTTGCTGTTATTGTTATTATTATTTTGGAAAAAAAAAATAATTATAAATAATCTCACCAAACTTCCTGCAGTGTACTTTCATTCACATATATATCTTTGAATAAATCTAATCGCATCTCCTTGAAAATGTGATTTTACTTCCAACTGCAAGCTATGACAGTTTTTTAAGGAAGATAAACTAAGGTGTTATTTTACTATTTCAATGCATAGTAATTTATATCTTGTATTATAGTTCTTCGCTGATTGCTTCTAGTTTTAGTTTTTTTATTTTATTCTAGTGTTAAAGAGTGAGTATAAAAAATCAGAAGCATATATTTGTTCAAGTCATATTTTGTCAGTGCCTAACAATGAGTTAAATGCGAGGATAATTAAAAGAAATGCATGCGGTGAGAGAGGGGCCATGGACGTGGTTCAAGGGGAGGGGCTCAATTTGTTAAATTCACAGGCATGTGTGCATGCTAAATGCCCCCAGCCGTTAGGTCGGTTCTCATTATAGCTCCAACGTCCAACCGCCAGCTTGCATGCTGCAATAATAAACAAAGCCCAAGGGTCCCCTCCTAATTGCCTCAGCAGATTCACTTCCCTCTTGTATAAATAGCCAACATCGTTTCTCATATCCTATACCACGCTCAAGCTAGCCTTTGCGTCCTTCCTCTAATCAAGCTTTATTTCTTGCCACTACTTGTTTCTCTTGCACAGTAACAACACAAAAACATATATAATGGCAACTAAAGCAATGCAATTTTCTGTATTCCTTCAGTTATTTCTTGTATTCAGCTTGTTATTTCAGGGCACTTGTGGAGACCGTGGTGGCTGGCAGATGGGTCACGCCACATTCTACGGCGGCAGTGATGCGTCTGGCACAATGGGTAAGCTGAGCACATTAGAGTGTTGCCACATTAGATGATCTTGGTTATATGTGTATCACATGTGAACACGTGAATGCTTATTCCAAGCGTGCATGATCGAGATTGAACAATTAATCACAGGAGATTTTCTTGTATGTTGCAATTATTTCCATACAATAAGTCTTCATGCCTTGGTCTTGTGTTTCCTATAAGATGCATGTGGTACTGGTTGCAGGGGGGGCTTGCGGATATGGAAACCTGTACAGCCAAGGGTATGGAACCAGCACTGCAGCTCTAAGCACTGCTCTTTTCAATAATGGCTTGAGCTGTGGAGCATGCTTCCAGATACGCTGTAACAATGATCCTAAATGGTGCCATTCCAGTACCATCACCGTGACAGCTACCAACTTTTGCCCTCCTAATTATGCTTTGTCTAATGACAATGGTGGTTGGTGCAATCCCCCCCTACAACATTTTGATTTGGCGCAGCCAGCTTTCTTGAAAATCGCACAATATCGAGCTGGGATTGTTCCTGTACTCTTTAGAAGGTATTTTCAAGACATCCTTAATTAGGCCATGACTGTGCCTTTGTCTAGTCCATTCAGAAGTTCTATTATTGTTCCTTAATGTTTGACAATTTGAAGCAACATCATTTTACTTTGTTTGTGGTTTTTTGACAGGGTCCCATGTGTGAAGAAAGGAGGCATAAGGTTCACCATTAATGGTCATTCCTACTTCAACTTGGTCTTGATAACCAATGTGGCTGGTGCAGGGGATGTTCATGCTGTGTCTGTCAAGGGATCTAGAACTGGGTGGCAAGCCATGTCAAGGAATTGGGGCCAAGATTGGCAGAGCAACTCATATCTCAACGGCCAAAGCCTCTCCTTCAGAGTCACAGCAAGTGATGGCAGGACTGTTACCAGCTACAATATTGTGCCTGCGAATTGGCAATTTGGACAAACTTTCGAAGGAGGCCAATTCTAGTAAAGTTAAATGTCCACCAAGACTTGTTTTTCAAGCTGAAAAAAAATATATTGTTATGTGTGGCCGGTTATGCTGAGGTACCCAAAGGCACCAAGGCTTTCAAGTGCCAGTATGTATACTAATTAATTCCCAGAATTGTAAAAAAAAAGAAAAAAGAAAAAAGAAAATGGAACATGTATATGGTATGGAATAAGAAGACCAGTTTTAATTACTTTTACCCTTGATATTTGCACTTTACGGCTCAAAGTAATCGGCACTCAGCCAAAACTAATCATCCAAACCACAGTTCAGGTATAAACACAGCCCCGGCAAAAGACTTCAGTAAGATTCTATATGATCCTGATGCTGCGCTTAATTATAAGTTCAGCAGTTTTTTATTCACCTTCTAGAAATTTGACAAAGGGCCTGCTTTTATAATAAAGCAGCTGGCATGTTTTCTCTGGAAAAAAAAAAAAACATGTAAAAACTGACTGGAAAAAGCATGCCTCCGACTGATTTTATTAAAAAAAACCCTAAAAGAACCGTTGAATTCATTCTTCAACAGCTCACAAGTATTTTGTATTCTTTTTAGTTTTTTTTATATATATTTGATTTTTTTAAAAAAATTTATTTCTTAATATTGCATTGAAAATTAAACTCGATAATTTGTTTTAATCTATTTTTTATAAAATTATTATAGTATATATAAAAAATATCTTTAGATTAATGCTTTTTTATGAAAAAAATTCAATTTTGTTGTTTTTAAGAATTAAAACTTAGAGGATAGAAAATTAAAGCATGGGAAATTTGCAGTCCTTTTTTAAATTTTGGTGACAGTTCCTTTTTGAAACATTTTGCTTAGGGTTTCTTCTTTTACTTTTTTTAGTTTGATAATTATATGTTTTAATTTAAAATTTTAGTTTATTCATATTTCGCTCGAAAAATGGGAGAGAGCCATAAAAAAAACAAAGGAGAAAAGAGGGAGATGTTGACTGGTCAGATTTTGTTGGCAAAGATAGTCAATTTTGGTGTTAAAGTTTTCATCTTGACGAGAGGAATGTGGTGTTTTTAGGCTTCTATATTGCTACAAATACTAAAGAGGTTGGGAGATTGTTTTCCCAATTTGCCTTTGTATTTCTTAACTGTCTTGGGGTTTTTTGTGTTGAGGAATTTGTTATTAATCCAAAAAACTCTCTAACTTAATTTTTTAGCTATTTCACAAGTGTTTGGAAATTAGGCATGTAAATAACATATCATCTGCTTCTTCTAAAGAACAATTGATAGACTACACTGTCATTTATTCAATTTAAAAAGAAGAAGGGGAAAAAAAGAAGAAGCTTATGCGTTTAGAAAGCCACTGTGACTGACTTTTTTCTTTATGTTTTTTTAATAATTTAAATTTAATTTAATTAATTTAAAATATATTAGATATTTTATTTTATTAAATTCTTAAATTAATTTAAAATATATTTTAGATATTATTTTATTAAACACCAATCATTTTTTCCTTTATTTTTATATTAGATTATAGAAATATTTTTTAATATTAGCAAGTTTTCTTTTTTAATTTTTTGTTTTTTTACTATTAGTATCTATTTTTTATTATATAATTAAATAAAAAGTATTTTTAAAAAATAAATTTATGAAAAATAGTCAAGTATTTAGAGTTTCACAAGTTAACCTATATCAATTTAATATGTCATTATCTAAATATTAAAAAAAAATACATCATCTTGGATTCATTTATTTTTAAATCCAAATAATATTTTTAGTAATTATCTAAATTATCTTTAAACCCACAAAGTTAAATATGTCAATGGAGTAATCTCCATATGATTTAGTTTGAAATTAAGGTTATGGAAGGATAAAGATTAGAAGGTTTTAAGATTGATTTATTAAATCAGATTTAATAATATTATTAAAAAAAAATTTGAATCAACGCCCAAACCCTATATTATTTTTATATTTTTTAATAGAATCAAAATAAAATTATCATAATATTATTTTAAAAAAAAAATTGAAACTTACTTCTAGAATAATTATTGAATGTTGTTTTAAAAAAATATTCTGATTAAAAAATCTAAAACAAAAAGGTTTTAATTTGAGAGATTTTTTATCCTTATTTTAATTGCCCAAATCTTTTTTTTAGCATTAATTGTTGTATGTATTACTCATTCTACTTTATTAAACATAAAAATCAAAATTTAAATTTATAATATAATTTTGTTTTACTACTAAAAACAAATAAATTGGCAACACTTTTTCACACACGTGTGCGCACACACACACACGAAAAGAGGGCAATCATAACATGACTAAACAAAACTGCGAGCATCATGGCTAATCTTAGGTGCAACTCTGCACACTAATGAGAAGAGGGCAATTGCATTCGGTAAGGGCCAAAAAATACTTTAGAAGAGAAAAGGATCAGAAAACAGTAATTCGGAACCCTATAATGGTGTAGGCATATGAACAATCACATTTAGAGGCAATTCCTACATCCCTTATCAAAGAGAACTTCTCTACAAAACTCACGGCTTACAAGTAAACAGATTTGACCTTCGACCTTGGAAGAAACCCTAAAATACCATCTACTTACATCTCCTCATCCATCCAACTGAGATCATCATGTTTCAAAAGTTTACACACACGATGACCACGAGTTCTTCTGCATCAAAAACACTGCCTCTATCGTACAGCATTGCACATCAGCATATAAACATAACGCTACGCTCAATAATTCAGCAACGAGTATTTCACTCTCAAAGCTATCCTGCCTTTCTCTACACCAAGCTTTCCACCTGTAACTAGCCAATGTCCTGGGGGATCTTGAGGCCCCTTTCTCATCTCGGACATATCAACAAACTTTGCCAACTTGTTCCCTGCAACATTTCCTCTCGAAGCTGAACTTGTGTCACCAGAGTGGGTATTATTTACAGCGGGGAATTTCTTTGACTTGTCATTGGGCATGTGGTCCCACAAGGATCTTCGTATTGTGCAGCCCGGTATCCTAGAATACAAAAGTTTCATGTACAAGACATTTCTTGAACCAAAATCCCACACTCCAAGCTGAGCCCCAGTGACAATATTGACACCAGATTGGTCACCAATAAAAGTTTCAGGGTTCTCAACTGGAGCAGTACTCACATGAGAGAAATTCTTCCACTTCACTGGTTCAAACCATCGGCTGTCCTGCTCCTCAGGTCCTTGCCACTTGGGAGCACCAATTGCAAAATGGGTGTCCCAGTATGGCAAGAGGATTTTAGGAAGAGATGCCAAGTGTTGAAGATGGATATGCAGGCGATTCTGCTTGGCTCCTTCGAGACATAGTCGTAAACCTGTGATAGGCTTGCGTCCTACTGATATCTGTAGCCAAGTTTAAGTCAAAATCAAAAACCAAGTTTTGCCGAGGTTTACCCTTTCCATTAGCTAGTAGGATTGTCTTTTGGTTAAATTAGACAACCAATGGTCACACCCGAAGAATCATGAGCCCTCTACAGAGCATAAAATTAACAGTCATATTTTGTTTGGTGGTAGAACACTATTGACAAATTTCAGTTGCTACATATATTTTACGAAATTCAACAGTACATAGTAAACTCTTTAACGCTGTTCCTCAAAATAATGTAAATAATTGAGCCATCTTTCACTGGGGACAAAAATGCATAGAAAGGCAACAAAATAATTGTACCTGCTCCTGACTGACATAAAGCTTTTGCCCCATCATGCTGAACTGCAAAGATGGGCAAACAGGTTCCTTTCTTTGGTGGCCAGGAAAATTGTCCTGTACTGGAGCCCAAATTCGAGGAATCTGGAACTCCAGAAAATACCTGAGCTCTTCTATCTGAGGTTTGTCTGGGCACAATTGTTCAAAAAAAAAAAAAAAAAAGACTGGCAGTTAGGAGTACCACTGCCTACTAGAAAAACAGCATATAAGAGAGAGGATTCTGACTAAACAGTCCGCTTGTCTTACATTCAAGATATAGAGCAATAGCACGACTCAGATGCTCCTTTCCAGGTACCCCAACAAGGAGATCTGTGATTGGAACAAAACTCATCTCAATGACATCAGGAGATGACTGTACAGTTCTTGCCCATTGAATATGATTTTGTTCCAAATCATCTCCTCCCCTCCTGCAGAAAATGACTGTAACATGCTGCACAGACAAGAATAACCGAAAAAATGTTTAAGGCTTCAAGTTGATCTATCAAAGCAAGGTCTTGAACCTCAGGAATAAATAATGATTAACAGTGTAGGGATGATTTCTTGACAAAAGTAGAATTCAGACTGTAGTCATGCAAATACAGAGTTGGCAGACAGAGACAACTTCACAAATGCAAAAAAATGAGATAGAATACTGCAAAAGAGCGATCCTTTTGTCCTGAAAAATCATGACAGCAATTGCAAGTAAACCTTCTAGACAAAAAAGCCAAAAACCATTTGTTAATTCATTCCAAATCCAACCGATGCATCCTGGAAAACATCATTGCAATTGCAAATGGATTACAAATCCAAACATGGAACAAATGTGGAAAATTCAGGACATCTGGAAGCAAACCTTTTTAAAGGAAAACATAGTTTAATTTGGAGTACTACACACATAATTCAAATAAGGAACTCGAATGGGAACTACAAATACATGGAGTAAAGCCTCGTCTGCTCAATTGAAGCATTAGGGTTAACATGTTCAGGAAAATTATGTTTGGATGGAATACTACTTTCCATCAAGCATCTTCCTATAAAAAGTATTATATGCATTAAAATGACAACAAAAGGCGTCGTAAAACAGTTCAACAAAGAGAACATTTGACATCATAACCTCAGTGAGGTGAAAGAGTGATTATAGCTCTAAGAAGCAAAGAAAATGAATGATTTCTATACTTCTTTCCCAGTAAGATATGGCGCACTAGTTGGCTGAGGGTATATTCCTTGGCTGTTAAAAATGCCAGAATCACCACCCTGCAAAATCAAGAATAATCTGTTTTAAGTCAAAGGTGACCAAGTAAGGAAATGTTAAGGAAGGTAGACAACGAAATAAGGGAATATCCTGGGACTAGCCTTATCCTTGAGTTTCATAGGGCCTGAACTCGTATGACCCTCCATGTCAGAAAACCTCTGATTTCCAATATCCTGTACATAGTGTTTAATCTCCAGGGTTGACAAAGGCGACGACTGGTGTTGTTTAACATATATCATATCCTTACCACCAATAGTTACAGAAGCAACAACGTGTGTCCCAAATTTTTCAATGAAGCTGGAAAAGAAAGAAGCAGTTGTTAGACAACTAAAGCTGTGATGCAAAAATATTCCTTCGGACTTCAGAGAATTAAAACTCATACCTCGCCAAGGATGGAGGGTCCCAACAGGTTGGAACAGCCCTTTTAACATTTTCATGCAACACTAAGGGGGATCTCATAAGTTGGACCTTGGCAAGTGGGATATAATATCCATCCATAGAAAGGGTCTTTGAAACTGCAGCATCGATGTGCTTTGAACCAGTAAAACTAAAAGCAGAATTGAAGCAGCCAAGAGGAAGACCTCCTGATAGGCTGGCCTTTTGATTGAAGTACTCCAACATCTGCATTATTCGTCATGAGAAGAACATTAGAACAACTACGATGATTTCGCTCATTTAAAACAGCTTGTATCATTATTTGAAGTAGGGAAAATATCAATACAATTCGTTTAGCAGTCAATTCTTAGCACCACAGAAGTTTGGCGAGCGTTATTTTATCTCAATCATTTTTAAGATTAAAAACAAAAATCCTCATCAAACTCTAGACAATTAAGCGTCACTCACTACTAATCAACCAATAGAGCTGATGTCTTAAATTTCAGTTTGCATTTTGTAACTCCAGACATCATTCACTGCAGAAACTTGAGCACTCAAGATGGTTATAGCCCTCTGTCAAGTTACAACCCAAAAGCTCTAACACAAGGTCTTGACTGATGCTCTAAGGAACATCAATTAACACTATAAGAACAATCCAAGGAAATATCAAATAACTAGGCTTTAGACATATGAAATAACCAAGTGCCAATAAACTGCAGAAATGATCCAAGAGACAAGTTAAACTTTCCATCCACTTGGTACTGATGGCAAAAGCAACTAAATTGATCAAGTTCAATTCAAGCTATCTTCAATACCACTATAGCCTAATACTCAAAGCCTCCAATACTAAACATGGATTCTCACAACACAGGAAAAGAACAGAATTTCAAAATCAAAACCAGAAAAAAATAAAAAACCAACCTCGTAAAAAGTGCAAACACCTGAACTCTGGCGTCCACTTGGGACCAAAGAGTTTTTTATGTCCCTAGAAACATTAGGCAATACAATCCCACCACACAACAAAAGATCTCTAGCATGTTCCTGATCAATCTCCACCACTTTAGACCCAGTAACTCCTTTACAATACAACAACCTCGTATCATAGTTCACAACAAACCCTCTCCCAAGCGCTTGCACAGCGTTCATAGCTGTGCGCATTGCTGCCGCATTAACACTTACACCCTCTCCCATTTGAGCTAAGAACCCAATTCTTTGATAATCATTTAGAAACCCAAAAACCAATCTTTTCCTTCAATATTTTTTATGGGTTTGTCAAGAAACTCGAAAGGTCAAACTCCTCAAAACCCATTTTTCTAGTTTCTTGAATTGACTGCGAAGAAGTCTTCGAAGAAGTTTCAATGGATTGATCCTCTAGATCTTGAATCCATGAAAAGAAAGTAGTAAAAAAACAGTAATCTTGAATGAATCCACTAACTACGATGCAACTTTCTTTGTCTCTCTCTGTTTTTATGTACTTCTACTTCTACTATGTTACGTAATGCACTAACGTAAGGCATTGACTCCAAGTCTTAAATTTTTGAGGGAATGCTAATGTGAGCGTGTTGGTTTGCCTAAGAAACTGACTGCTCCAAATTCATTTGGGATTCTGACATGTGGATGGTAATTTATCCATCCGATGGTGCTATGTGTTGATAAAGAAATCATAGGTAGTCTGACAGTAAATATCATACTCTTTTTTCTTTTTCTTTTTTATCCTAACAATTAGAGGATATTCTGAACAGTTTTAGAGTTTAGTGTATCGAAATTGTGTGATAGAGTATTAGTCAAGTTATTTCTTTTTAAATTAAAGCATTGATGGGAATCTTGTTTTATAATATAATTTCAAAATAATAATGCAAGGCAAATTCAATAGATTATATGGTAAAATGAATTTTGTCACATCTCTACTAGAGAGTGATAGAATTCATGCTGTTCTTATAGTAGTTCCTGGGCTTGTTTATGATGATTGAAACCATTTGATTAGGAAGGACATGCCAAAGCTTTTTACAAGTATCATGCATGTATTTGTGCAAAGTATACATTTCCCCTAACAAAAATGCCATTTTTATCAAAAGATTAGTTCCCAAAATTATTTCTTAAACGGTAATTACTTTCACAAAATATCAAATTGATGCATCCTGCACTGGTTCATGCCGGCTAAGCATTAGCCTAATTACTTTTTTCATAACTCAATTTTTTACTCCTATTTTATTTAAAAAAACAACAAAAAAATATAAAAAGAAAAAAATGAGGAATAAATTGAAATTTAGGTCAGGACAACATAAATTGAAAATTTAGGGATTTAATTGAACTGAAATTGTTTAATTAATAAAATCAGGGATCTAATTATTAAATGTCAAAAGTTTAGGGGTCAAGTTGAAGATAGTCATTTCTAGATATAAACAACGCTGTTTTTGAACCACTATTCATCATCTTTGTCACTTTGTCTCCAGACTAAAGACCGATTCAACATGAAATGGACCAAAACTCGTCTCCTACCTGCTATCCCCATGTTGCTATTTCCAGGGTCACAAAGTTGATTACAAGACTGATGCTCCTTTGTTTTTTATAAAAAAAATAGTTAATGAAATCAGGGATTTAATTGTTAAATGTCAAAAGTTTAGGGGTCAAGTTGAAAATAGCCATTTCCAAATATAAACAGCGTCGTTTTTGAACCATTATTCATCATCTCCGTCACCTTGTTTTCAAATCAGAGACCGATTCAACAGGAAATGAACCAAAACATGTCTTCTGCCCGTTATCCCCATGTTGCTATTTCTAGGGCCACGAAGTTGATTAAAAGACTAATGCTCCTTTGTTTCTTCTTAAAATAATAATAATAATAGAGATGAACGTGCCTCACAAATGCACGAACAGAAGCCATTCTCTGGCTTTATAAAAGCTAGAGAAGGCCACGAATAAAAGTGGGGGAGGTCACGAGAAGAACGAAACAAAGGGAAAGAAAAAAAAAAGGGACCTCAGAGATAAACAGAGGAAAACCGGAGGAATAACAAAAACAAAAACAGGGGACAAACAAAAAGTGGACACACAGAACACAAGGAGTGAACGATACACACAGAAAGCGAAAGGGAGGGTGAGCAAACACAGGAGAACAAAAGGACAAAGAAAAATAAGATTCAGGGAAGGAAGAACAGAGAGTAAGCGAAGGAAAAGGAGAAACAAAGAGAGGAAAGCACTGGCCAACCAACGCACGAGCACCAGCTTTGCCTCTAAGTATACCAACCCCTTCCCTCTTTGAACAACAGATCAGAAAAGAAACACAGGTGAACAAACACAGATGAAAGAAGAAAAAAAACAGAGGATCAAAGCCAATAGAGAGAGAGAGAGAGACAAAAAGATCCAGAGAGAAAGAAAACGAGTAAATAAAGAAAGTAAAAGCAAAAAAAAGAGCAGAGGAGGCATCATCGTTCGTCCAACACAGTGCACCATCGTCTTTGGCTACGCCTCGCTACGCCAGGTAAGTCATTCCTCGTCTCTCTCCACCTTGCATTTCATTTGTTTCGACAATGTGCAAAGGTAAGTTTAATTATCTTCGCACTATGCAAAGGATGCGTGAATAATTCCCGCACAGTGCCCAGTTGGGTCACCAGATTGGACCAGTGACCAGGTTGGGCTGGCTAAGTCTAGTCTAGTTTATATGGACTGAGCTAAACCCAATCTAAAAATAAAAAAAATAAAAATAGAAGAAATGATGCATGTATAAAAATAAATTTATTTTATTTATTTATTTATTGATATCAGAATTATGAATAAAAACACTGATTTAAATTTTTTTTTATAACTATATAATATTTAGCAACGCTAGAGTTGGAAGTATTCATAATTTAATATTCACCAGCGCTAGAGTCATGAATATTATAAGAAAATTATCATAACATAAACTAATAAACGTTTAACAATTTAAAATAGAACCAGCAATGTAGTCTGTTTTAAGCAGGATATTTAAGGGATGATAATATCTTTTTTTTTACGTAACCATTCTCATGTCAAATAATCGTTATTGAGTTAGGGTTTCTAGTGATCATAATACTAGGTAACGATTCTTTAAACAAGATCATTCTCCATCAAAGAATATGGTGGTGACTCTTTAAATAAGACCATTCCCCATAAAAAAAAAATAGAATATTAGGAATCCATTTTTTTATACGAAAGATATTTTAAGATAGGCCCTTTGTCTGTTATAACCCGCTTGTCAAATGTTATGGCATAGGGCATAGGATATTATTTTCCTTTTGATCTCGACAAAATCATTAATAGCAAGAGCATGTTTTATTTGCGCTGAATATTTTAAATGTTACATGTCTTTTATTTTTAATATTTTACAATATTTGATTTATAAAATATTTTATATGTAAACTATTTTTCAAAATGATTGTGGTGAACGAGGGAGGTGGTGGTGAGATAATGTTGTGAAGAAGGAGGTGTTTGTAGGATGATGATGGTGATGATATAATAGTAGTTATAGAAGAGGTGATCATGAGATGGTGGTGGTGATTATAAAAAAGATGGTGATGAGTTGAAGCCGATTATAATGGAGGAAAAAGAATGCGGGGGCAAGATGGTTGTGAAATGATAATAATTACGAGTTATAGATGATGGTTGAAATAGTTAGATGAATTATATTGTAAGGAGATTATTATTCATGAAATAATTACGAAACTTCATAAATTGAAAATATTTTCTAGTAAATAAATTAAATTTGAAGATTAATTGTAAAATATTTTTTTATTAACCAGTTTTTCTATAAAATATTTTACTAGAAATAAACACAAGAAAATATTTTTCTAAAAAATACATGAAAAATGTTTTTCTATAAAATACTTTACTCAAAACAAATGAACCCTTAAATTGCAAGTTATGCAGATTGCTCAGGAAGCGACATCCAACAAAACAAATAAGAAAAACAAATAAATGAACAAAATCATAGTTATTGATCTCAGATATAGTCTAATTGCCTAGATCATCAAATGATTTGGTCAATTAACATGTCATTAGGTTGATTCATAAGTTTAATTTTTTTAGAAAAAATAAAAGTTAATATTTTATTTTTGATCATGTTATGGTTTTGACAGGATTAATACTAATCAATTGAATTGGCTAGATTTTAACTTAGAAAAAGAATAATTTGGTTTGGTAAATTAACTAGGTTTGAATATTTTATTGTTGATTGGCTGCAGGTCTAGTTAGCTGAATGGATTGTATTTTAACTAGGTCAAAAGAATTGTTCACTTCAATTACAAAAGTCAATCTAATTAAGGTTTTTATCTTCTATTTTTCTATCAACTCGTCAAATTTAGTTGGATTTTACAACTAGGTAAAATCAAAAGTAACAATTGGAGGAAAAAAAAATATTATATTGGATCTTCTACGAAACCAAACTAAAACAAACCAAAGGACAAAATAATAATTAATATATCAGGAAATGAAGGTAATAAAGAGTGTTTTTTTTTATATATATATATATATTTAGATAGCACTTTCTCATAATTAAAAGCTTTGAGAAAGTAGCAAAACTTAAAAAAAAAAATAGCACAGTTTGATAAATGTAAACCAACATAATACGTAATGGAGAACAACACTATTTTTATGTTGTGTTGTTCCTAACAATACAACTAAAATTATCCAAATTTCTTTCAACTTAGAGAGGTGTGGAATGTGTTGCAAATGCATTCATGAATCAAACATATAAGGCAAATCTTGTGAAAAAACCTAAACGCGTTAAATATGGAGTCTCGCAGAAACAATTATAACTTTAAATTTTATCAATATAATGAATTCAACATGTCTAGTTTTATAGGTGAAACTTGTTGAAACTAGTTAAGGGTTCTAGAAAACTCTCAAATTAATGTTGTTTTTGCTATTTTAATTATTTTTATAACTAATTTTATATTTTTATATTTAGCTTTTTATTTGAAAGAGCACAAGTATCATTACACTATCATTATTATATTATACAAGTATTGATTTACCAACATTGTCATATTAATTATAAATATTAACTTTAGACTGACATGGCAGGTTAATTTAATAGCTGGACCGGTCCGAATTTATTAAAAGACTTTTTAATGTAATGACCAGGCTAAACTTGGTGACCCATGACTTGAATAACCTAGGAGAACCCGGACGAGACTTGTATTTTTTTTTTTAAATGTGGTTTTTCTTCTATACCCTTTTTTTTTCTATATTTTTTTAGTTGATTATTAACACTTTTTAAGTTCACTATATAAATATTAGAAAAGTGATTTATTTTTTTTAATATGGGATTTGAAATCTTTTAGTATACATACTCTATATTTTTAAGAAAAAAATTATTTTTTCAATGTGGAATAAAAATATTTTTGATTTAAATACTTCAACTTAAAAGGATAACATAATATGTTTTCAATGTGGGATTTAAAACCCTTTAGTATATATACTCTATGTTCACAAGAAAAAAATTATGTTTTTTCAACGTGAGATTTTAAACCCTTTAGCATATATATTTTATGTTCATAAAAAAAA